ATGGGGAAGGGCCGACACACTGCAACCCCCGGGTAAGGAAAACTGCCCTGGCACCTTCTCAGGTCTCTGAGCGTTGCACCAAGTGCTGCAGGCTCGTTCTAATCACCGCAAAAAGGAGCTGGCTGATCCCCAGTGCCTGCTGGCAGAAGGGCGAGAGGCTGGAAGCTGCACCCCGGCAGCACCCACTGGCATCAGCACCGAGCCCTCCAGGAGGGCGCCCAAAATTTCTCCAGCCCCCCAGACACCCTACAACACCCCGTGATGGAAACGCCCATGAAGAGGGCTCGTTGTAAAGGGGTGCTTACAGAGGTGGAAAATCAAGGTGATGGACCGAAACCCCCCCACTTCTCATGCCGTGTCGCTCCCGAGGAGGCTACCTGCGCACACCACACCAGCTTCTCCCCCGTGGTGACAAGTGCCGTTGCCCCGGAGCTTCGCCTTGCACGCAGAGAGGGCAGTCTCCGTGCCTACGCAGCTCACGCTGTCAGGCCACATTTGCCTGGGTCCTTGCCCAAAATGCGACCCACCGGGTGCTGACAGCGCTCTGCCGCAGCCCAGCTGCCTGCACACCACTCGAGCTTCAGCCAGACCCCAGCCCTCGTCACACAGGGCTGCCCAGGTGCCGTCGTGGGTGACCTCCACCCTGCCTTCGCAGCGCGTCGAACCATTGGCCAGGCGGAGCTCAGCGGCCACGGACACCCCCGAAGCTGCCAACGACACACAAAGGTATGTGCACCGGGAGAGCCACGTCTGCTTCTGCTCCAGCCTGAGCATCCTCCATGTGTGGAGACTGAGTGCTCGCAATGCTCAGCATCCTCTTAAAAGTGAATTTTGAGGGGTGGCTTTGCAAAGGGGCTATACCCAAAAAGTGATGTTGCAAAGTCACCTTGTTGCAAAGTCACCTTATTGCAAAGACATCTTATTCCAAAGTCGCCTTATCATAGAATCATCGAATAGTTTGGGTTGGAAGGATCTAGTCCAACCTCCCCTGCAATGTGCAGGGACATCTTCAACTAGATCAGGTTGCTTAGAGCCCTGTCCAACCTGACCTTGAATGTTTCCAGGGATGGGGCATCTACCACCTCTCTGGGCAACCTGTTCCAGTGTTTCACCATCTTCATCATAAAAAATATCTTCCTTATATCTAGTCTGAATCTTCCTTCTTCTAGTTGAAAACCATTGCCCCTTGTCCTATTGCAACAGGCCCTGCTAAAAAGTCTGTGCCCATCTTTCTTATGAGCCCCCTTTAAGTACTGATAGGCTGCAATAAGGTCTCCCCGAAGCCTTCTCTTCTCCAGGCTGAACAACCCCAACTCTCTCAGCCTTTCCTTATGGGAGAGGCGTTCCATCCCTCTGATCATTTTCATGGCCCTCCTCTGGACCCGCTCCAACAGGTCCATGTCTTTCCTGTGCTGAGGGCTCCAGAGCTGGACGCAGCACTGCAGGTGGGGTCTCACCAGAGCAGAGTAGAGGGGCAGAATCACCTCCCTCGACCTGCTGGCCACGCTTCTTCTGATGCAGCCCAGGCTACGGTTGGCTTTCTGGGCTGCGAGCACACATTGCCAGCTCATGTCCAGCTTTTCATCCACCAGTACCCCCAAGTCCTTCTCGGCAGGGCTGCTCTCAATCCCTTCATCCCCCAGCCTGTATTGATTCCGGGGGTTGCCCTGACCCAGCTGCAGGACCTTATTGCAAAGGTACTTTATTGCAAAGGCACTTTTCTGCTCTGTGCTACATAGCCCAAATAAAAGGGCTGAGCTACACACGCATCAAAAACTCCATCAAAAGCCCTGCATCGTGGGCAATGGGCAAGACAGACTTGGCCTGGCTGGATGGGCAGGAACTGGGGATGGTGAGTTACACCTGCAGAAAGCTTTGCATGGTACAGCTTAGTGGCCTGCAAGGCAAACTAGGCTTTGGGGTAGGTCCTCAGTAATCCATGCATGCGGCTGCAAATGAACAGCCCTTTGCTGTTCCTGCAGCTTAGCACTGGATTCATGGCAGCAGGAGGCGAGCAAAGGCTTTTCAGACTTGCCTGCCTGGGTGCTGCAGGTGCTCCCCAGCGCTGCAAAGGGGATGCTGCAGACAAGCGCTTTTGGGGGAGATGCAGGAGCTGTCCCACGATCCCTTAGGAAACCCTGAAAGTCTGATGTTGACCCCTCTTGCACCTCAAGGTGAGTTACCTGAACATATCACTCCAGCATCCTCCCCGTGGAAGCAGTTGTTGTCCCCCCAAGCGCTGGCCTGGCAGTCGAAGAGGGTGTCCTCAGTGCCGGTGCAGTTCACCTCGTCCAACCAGATGGGATCGTGGCCCCTTCCAAAGCGAGCCCCGCTGGTGGCCGACAGTGCTGCACCGCAGCCCAGCTGCCGGCACACCACTGCCGCATCCGCCAGGTCCCAGCCGTCATCACAGACCGTCCCCCACATGTGGTTGTGGAGCACCTCCACCCTCCCGGCGCAGCGGTTGGGGCCGTTGAGCAGCTGGAGGGTGCCCAGGGCGGTGATGCTGGAGTCTGCGGGTGCCCCAAGGGGAACGGTTGGAGAACGGTTGTGCATCGCTGCCGGTACAGCAGGAAGGGATGCGGGGGGGGAGTTGGTGCAGAGCTGGATCGCTGCCATCCCGGGCTACCTGAGCACTCAACGCTGGCATCCTCCACGTGGTGACAGTTGTGTTCCCCCCATGGCCTGGCTCGACATTCGGAGAGGTCCTTTTCCTCCCCGGTGCAGTTGACCTCGTCCAACCAGATCTGTCCCGTCCCTTCTCCGTACCGAGCTCCTGGTGCCACCGACAGCACTGTCCCACAGCCCAGCTGCCGGCACACGACCCGGCCCTCGGGGGGACCCCAGCTGTCGTCACACACTGTCCCCCACGTTCCGTTGTGGAGCACCTCCACCCGCCCGGCACAGCGGCCGGGGCCGCCCACCAGGCGAAGGAGCCCCCCCAGGCTCTCAGCAGCTGTGCCTGCAAAGCCGGGAGGGGAAAGAGGAGGGGAGTTGAAATCCTGGGGGTGAATGGGGCTCAGCTGCTCGCATGTTTGAGATGGCTCCTGCTCCCCAAAAAGGGTTTCAGAGGAGGCGCTGACATCCCACACCTGCCCTGGGCATCTGTTTGTAGGCAGCTGAGCCTCATCTCTGCATCTAAACATCTGATTTTAACCATCTTAACCTCAGCGGGGATCCCACATTCCAGGAGCCCTTTTCTTGCTCATGTAATAGGCAGAAAAAAATGGGTCTTTGAGCTTATGCACATTTTTGTACAAGTGGCCAGCAGCAAAGATGTAGCTTCACCATCAAGAGTGAGTAATGCCTTGGGGTCCAGCTGAGCGGCAAGCTTGCAGGGATGAGTGGAAAATCACTTGAACTAAGGGTCTTGGCAATGTGTGAGACCCACAGCGTGAGATTGCCACTGGTCCCATAGGCACGCTTTGGCAAGAGTGCTAACTGAAGGGAGACCATGCAGAAAGGAGCTGCAACTGGACATTAGTCACGTGGAGAGCTCAACCGGATCAGCAGAAAAAGAAGTTCAAGAGGGATATGATTGCATTGTGTAAATAAGCTTTTTGACCGTGGATAATGATTTCCGAAGTGCTCAGGCACTGATTTGTGTGCAAGTCTGACCATCAGCAAGTGAGGGGCCAGACATAGCACTTGGGAAGTCACAGTGGCCAGAAAGAGGACGAAACAGGTTGAAAATCCCTGAGTCATTCAAATACAGACAGCATCTGGGCAGCTGTGGTATGCTGCGTGCAGGCGTGCCTAGCTCAGGTCTTTCATTCAGGCTGCGCGGCGGGGAGCAGGAAAGCGTCTTTGCAATAAAGCATCTTTGCAATAAAGTGTCTTTGCAACAAAGCCCCTTTGCAAAGCCACCCCTCAAAATTCACTTCTACGAGGAGGCTGAACCACATGCATTGCAGGCACTTGGTCTCTGGTTTGCAAGTTCTGTCCCCAGGCTAAGAGCACAGTCCTGATGATGGCTCGCTCTTCGGTTTCATCCTTTCCCCCTGCGCCTTTTGCTCTCCTTCCTTATTTTTACTAGGAGCGCTAAGGCTACCCTGTGATAAGCAATAAATCAGCGCCGCAGCTGAGACTTAGCAGAGCTGATAGATTTCTTGGCATGTTTCTTGCAAGCACTGCCCTGTCACTTGTGCATTGACTGTGGTTGGGTAGACAAGTCCCAGCACAGGTGACTCCAGCCAGCCAGGAGATACTGACTGGACATACTGACTGTCGAAGAGACAAATGCCGTACTGAAATTTCCAGGAGCAGGATTTAAAAAAAAAAGTGGGAAGATTGTACTGTTTGTGAATAGATCACCAAAGAAGGAGAAAACCCAAGCGAGTTAAAGCAAAAGTTTAGTTCCAAGAGGCAGTGGTACAAACTGGCCTTAGCAACGAATCATCCTGGAAATTAAAATGAAATCCCTACCAGCAGGGAAAGCATGTTCCTAATTTTGCTCACTCCAAACCTGATCAGAAGATGAGTGTTTCTGCTCGTGCCCTGTGTAAATGTGAAACAGCACTAAGGAGGTTGCCCAAATCAAATAACCAGCTTCTGCTCTGAGCTAGGGCAGCTTGGGCAAAGCCCTGAGCCCTTTCTTAACCATTTCCAAAGCAAAGCTGCTGTCGAACCATCGGCATGATATTGCTTTTGCAGCAGAGTTCTTCCCCATCCTTGCACCAATGTCTGAGAGCAAACCATGGCTGCAGATAAGGGACCTGTAGGGTCTATGGCTTCCTTACAGCTCTGCCTGAGGACAAGGGTCATGTCTCTTGCCAGCATCTTGCCTGTCTGCCCTGTTAGCTCAACAAATATTCAGTTGCTTGTGCTGCACAGCCATGAGCCACCCAGCCTTGTCCTGGCAATGTGGGTCCCTACTTGCTCATCGTACAGGGAGCCGCCCTCTTAATGCACAGTTCTGTTGGGTTTGGCCAAGACCCCTCCGTGCTGCAATACCCTGAGTTTGCCATGCACAGCCCGGCATAAGCCAAGATTAAAGCAGGGCAGGAGGCCATGGCCAGCTGAGAGACAGCTTCAGGATCAGGCATGCTTCACTCCACTTTTGCAATGCTCACACGCCTTTATTTATGGGGCACAAGCCTTTGATTATGGGGCAAAACCATGTGTGCAAAAGTAGACCTGCAATTCGTGGCTCTTGGAGTGCAGCAGAGATAGCTGAGCTCCTGACTTTGCTCAGCTTCACCTGCCTCCAAAGCCATCACAAGCCATTCCCTCCCTGCCCCAGACCCCCAAGAGAAACCCAGGACCCACAACCAGCCTCTGCTGTGCTGCACGAAGTGCTAACTGAGCAGGCTGGAGGAGCAGATGTGGCCGACGGGCTCCCTGTGATCAGCAGCGAAGGTGAATGCCACTCACCCCAAAGGCACGCCATCAGGAGAAGGGTCCCCATGCTCTTGGCCCCACTGAAGGTGGGTTGGTTTCTGCCCCCGGGGCAGCTGGACGAGGGATGGAGACTGCCCAGCATTCCCGTGTTTGCAGCCTGGCCACGGGCTGGAGGCTAGAGTGGACTGTCCTTGTGAGAGATGCCAGCTGAGCCCGGTGTCCCACTGGCCAACTGGGAGGGCAAACTGGGATTTCTGCAGCGAGCCCTCCTCTTCCTCTGCCTTGCTCCCCACTGGGAGCTTCACCTCCTGTGAAGCTCTGCCAGGAGGTGACCCGCTGCCCCATGCACCAGCCAGTCTTGTCATCGGCTTGCGAAATGGCGAGCTGTTCCAGGAAAACACGGAGCAAACAAAACCCTTTCGACACTCAGGTCCCATCTCGTATGTGCCAGCCCCTGCGGGCACCTCAGCTGCCCTGACACATCCTGGTACAAGATATCTACTTTTGACAAGCTAAACTGAGCCTTTATGCACAGAACTGGGGAAATATAGCTACGTTAGCTTCATTAGAAAGTGTCTGGTTGGGTTTTGGGGGGTGAGGGACCATCCACTGCAAGAAAATAGGTTACTAAAGGCTGCAAATGGCTTTATTGTGGAGGCTGGAACCAGCGCCTGCACTGTAGCCATTTGCCATCAGGCGAGCCTGGACACCATCCATGATGAGAAAGAGTCTCGCACCCACCTTGCGATGCTTTGGATGGCTCGATCAGCTTTGGAAGCAAGGGTAACCGCCATTTTCTTATCCTACTGTGGTTGCACTTGAAAGACCCCAAGGGTCCCTTTTGGAGTAGCAGTTTGCTTCCTGGTTGCTGTTATGCAGAAAATGCTCCAGGCATGTCCCTTGCAAATCACTAGCCCAGGTATGTCCCGAGATGCCAAGAGGATGGAAAGATTTGCTGTCTTCTCATCCCTTTGTGGTGGCACACTAAAGTTGTGCAAGAAAAGGGCCCAAAGCCAGAGCAGCGTGCCACTGGAAAAAAAGAGTTTTTGCAAAAGGGTTGTCAAATTAACGTCACTCATTGCTCCGAATGGGAGGGTTCAGACAGAGGTGGGTGCTGTGCTGGTGATGCGTTGAACATTGGGCAAGGATGTGACCCCTGCCAGAAACAGGGTGGATGGTTCTGCCTGTGTCTGTGCAAAAATAAGAAGCAAAACTGGAGCATGTAATGGGAAGAGGACAGCATGGACAGAAAGGTCTCAGGCTGAGTTTAACCTGTTCAGCCTGGCAAAACCTGAGAGGGGTAGTAGAGTGGAGAGTAGATCACTGCCTGAGACCCCAGAGGCATGCAGAGCTAGGGCTGAAGACCAAAAGGAAGAAAGGTGTACTAAATAAAGGTACAAGAATGAGCGGGTGAAAATTAGGCTAGAAATGAGTCAAAACTCATCTCATAAAAAGTAGAGCAGTGGGGAAAGGTGACTGTATTCATTTGTACCGTGGCTCAGTGAGCCCAAGGACTTTGTTCCCCTTCTTTCCGAACAAACAAGTCAGCAGCAAAGACATTCCCGACACCGACGGGCACGGAAATGCTGTGAACTGTTGTAGCCTGACGCGGTCGATGCAGCTCTGGGCAAAGGCGTTTCTGCTGGGACTGTTTTCACAGTTTGGCCAAATGGCCACTCTGGAAGTGAGTCATGGTCCTATGTCCCTTCTGCTTGTTTTGAATTTGGGTGTTGTGTCCCCCTGGGAAGTCTGAAAAAAACCCTTCTTGAGATACTGCAGTCCCTGCAGAGCATCTCTGCAGAGTAGCCCATGGCCTGAGATCAGATCTAGCAGGTGCTGGTCCTGCGTGTTGGAGCCCTGAGAAGTCCCAAGTCATCCCAGCTTTATTACAAAGACCTTCTCCAAATGGTGCACATATTTTATTGCACAAAATTGTGTCCAAGTTCTGGTTTTCCCCTATTCTGAGAACACTCTATGCAGAGCTAGAAGGAGCCCTGGGCCTTTGATATAAACTTTGGGACAGGCAAGGCTGGAGGACCAGGTCTGCTGGGGCAGCCAGCAGGAAGATGAGAAGGCTTGGGTGCTAGCAGGAGGATGAGAAACCCTGAAGTCCCAGGAGTGATGGCTGTCCGTGGAGGAGCAGATGACCTTGTGGCCATGCGTTTACAGGAGACACCCGGCTGGGGGGCTGTATGGCTGGGGCTTAGGACAAGTAGCAAGATGCAGACTGGTGGGAAGCTAGACCTGAAGGGTATTGAAATACATGCTGTGACTCTTTTATTACACATGTCTTCTCCCTGCTGCCTCTTGCACCAACTCTTCCCTTCCATGCCCTTGTGTGGAGATCAGCTCAGCTTGCAAAGCACACCTTCATCACAACCTGGTCAAGGTTGTGGTCCCTTCATTCCCTCCCCATGGCACTGGGATGTTCCTCTGACCATGGCCCTTCCTGGCTTCACCAAAGTGGTGGATGGCTTGGCTGACTCCAATGGTTGCTCCATTAGGAACATGATCCTTCCTTGTTGGTGGCCAGTAAAATATCTCACTCAGCATTAGCAATCTTGAGTCTCCTGTATCTGACCCCATCATTTACAATCCCTCTATAACCAAGGGGCCTATTCTTCCACCACTTTCACCTCGCCAAGTTACTCCATATCCCTGAATCTGTATAACGCTGCATTCTCGTTCTTTCAGGTTTTTACTGGTATTCAAAAGTGGATTGAATAAATACAATGGGTGAGGGACTTCTCACCCCATTCTAGATGGGCTTTTACGTGCACTCCTCATTTTGCAAAGGTGGTTATGTACAGTGCAGGAGAGCACCCTGCTCGCTTGCTCCTAGATCAGGAAGAAATACTCAGTTCCATGGGAGATTAGGGGAAAAGGTATGATCCCGTTGGGAATGCAGTGAGGGTGATGGCACTGGGTGCCACTGCAGATGTCTCTGCAGGGGGTTCTGGGGATTATAGGAGGCTATAGGCCTGGAAATAGGGATTATAGTGGTTATAGGGCTGGGAATAAGGATTATAGTGGTTATAGGGCTGGGAATAAGAGGAGTCTGTGCAGATGGGGTTAGGATGCTGGAGCCTACCCAGAGGACCAGATAGGGGCTATCCTGAGAAGACCTTGCTTGAAGACTGAGGGACTTCACAGTGCTGCATGGAGGAACTGGGACCCACAGAGGCTCAGCGCAGTGAGCTGGGGGCTATGGGGCACACAGGACAGGGGTCTCCGGTCTGCCAGAGGAGGTCCTCTCTGCTGACCATCGCAGCAACTGCTCTGCTCTTCTGGCTCCACAAAACGGGGTCTTCTGGGGTCCTGAGGGAGCCTTGCCTTCGACACCAGGAGCGTGGCTGCCTAAGCCTCGGATGATGTCCCGGTGTCCTCTGTCTTCTTTATAAGTGGCTTGTCTGCAAAATAAAGGAGCAGGGTGATGCATAGAGGGAGCAATCCCCAGCCCCAGGTTGGGGTGCATCCATGCCAGCGAGGAGTGCAGCCAGCTCCACAAGCAGGCCAGGTGCACCACGTGCTGTGGTCCTGCTCTTACCTGGGGAGCGTCCAGCCTGTCTTCCACACCTCATCCACAGGTACAGGACCAACAGGGTCCCACAGAGCATTGCCCCCGTGCTGAGCAGGCCTGCCAGCACTGAGCAGGACTGTATGAGGTCTGCAGGAAGAATGAAGCTCGGAAGGGGTTGGTTGGATGGCCTAACCCTCCCTGCCCCTCTCACCCTTCCCTTCTGCTGCATGTTTCTGGGGACTTGCAACATCCTTCCTCACTGCTCTCCTGGGTGCTGGGGCTGACTGTCATCAGCAGGAGTGACAGCTCACCCTCTGCTTTGGGAGGGTGGGTGCGTGGACACCCCCCCATTGGGCTAATGCAAACAGAGCGTGTCCACCGGGGATGCTCGGACCTCCATGCCCGCTGAGATGCCTTCACTCAATTGGTCCCACTCCGCTGCCTTACAGCCGCTGCTTTCAGGTGCCTCTACTCTGCCCACCTAACATCTCCCGGCAAAAAAGTTTATGGCAATGCTTCTGCCTGCCTGGGAGGAGAGGCCCTCAAGAGCTTGCTGGGATGAATGTGTGCCACCTTTCCCCTTCCTTCTCGCCTTGGGACCTTTTCCCCCATGGAATTCAGACACCACGGAGGATCCCAGCGCTCACCCTTCGGCTTTGTGCACACCACGCTGGCTGCCGAGCCCTGCCTGCACGGCCCCAGCCCCGTCTCTCTCTGCAGGCACTCCAGGAGCAGCAATTCGTTCCCCCGGCAGCTCAGCCCCTCCAGCAAGGCATGGCCATCCCCCCGGCTGAGCTGGGCTCCAAGAAGCGCCCGCAGCCCAGCTGCCTGCAGACCACCCTGGCTTCCAGCAAGCTCCAGCTGCTGCTGCACACCCCGTGCCAGGTAGCGTTGTAGAGCACCTCCACCCGCCCTGCGCAGGGACCGGGACCGTCTTTCACCTGCACCTGCAAGGGGCTTGTGCCTGCAAGGAAGAGCGCAAGGGGGTGAGACAGCCCCTCCGACCCCATAGGGGCAGAGAGCTTCAGAGGGCTGTGCAAGGTGCCCACGTGCACGGGGACAGGCGTGCATGTGATGTGATGCCTGTGCCCACTGCACCGTTGCCGGCTCAAATGCACAGCACGGGGACAGAGAGCCTGAGAGGACGGTGGCCAGAGGCTTGCGTGCAACCGCCCGTGGGTCTGCACACTCCTTTGCACACCTGCATGCTTGCCCACTCTCTATAGGCATCCTCAGGGTGATGGGAGCTTCTGACTTGCTCCCGGGCAATTTTTTCTTGTGCCCTGCTGAAGGCAAGCCACCAGCACCCGTGACCAGCTACGAGGCATGGATTGCCTTACTCCAGCCCCCCATATGAGGTGCCTTAATAAGCAACATCACCGCAGGGCTGGTATCTGTGAGATGGGACTCATGGGAGACCTACATCCACCTCCCCGGTGGCACTGGACTCCTGTGTCTAGGAAAGGTGCACCTGGATTTTTTTTTTAAGCAAGGCTTTGCCCATCACAGGATGCTGTTATTGGTGAGCTAGAGGTATACATAGTCTAGATTAAATCAATATGAGTTAGGTGCACAACTCCTGTCTAAGGCAGGGTGGCATTTTTGCTCAACTCCAAGCCAAGTGGCTGGGTGAAAGCTGACTTCTGCTCTCATGCTGGGGATGGGGAAGAGTGAGCAGAGAGGAGAGAGCCTGACACAGCCCTGGGATAGAGTAGCAGCTCCAGCACCCGTCAAGCCTCTCCTTGAATGGACATCAACCATCCTGGCTCACCCGCCCCCTGGTCCCTGCAGCCTGGTGTTACCTGAGCACACCACACCAGCATCTTCTCTGTGGCCGCAGTTGTGCTCTCCCCAGTTGCTCAGCTCACACTCGGTGAGGGTGGACTCAGTCCCTGTGCAGTGAACGTCGTCCAGCCAGATGGGATCCGACCCTGGCCCGAAATGAGCCGAGCCTGGTGCTGCCAGCGCCATCCCACAGCCCAGCTGCCTGCACACGACGGTGGCGGCATGGAGGTCCCAGGTGTCATCGCACACGGTCCCCCACTTCTGGTCGTGAAAGACCTCGACTCTCCCCAGGCAGCTGTTCGAGCCGTTTGCCAGCCGCAGTGGGCGCTGCCCCGAAGCGTCCGCATCTGTGAAGGGAGCAAGGGGCACGTTCATGCCTGACCGTGATCCACGGCTCCCGTTGGGCTTTGCAACATGTTAAGCCGTGGGAAAATCAGGGCCTCTGGCTGCCTGGGAAAGGTGCTACACCGACAGGGCTGGCTTGGGATTTGCTTCTCATTGGGGTGGATAAAGAGGGGTCGCAGCTCCAGAGCTTGGGGCTTGGAGCCTGACAAAGGGTTCTGGGATCAATAGTGACTATGGTAGGGTCCTGGGGTCAGTAGTGACATTGCCGGATGAATTTGTGTTGCTAGAGCTGTCAGAAAGGGGAGTGGTAGGAGAAGGGCTGGCTCTTCCTACACAAAATCATCCTAACAGCACACTG